AGAAGCAAACAAATGATCTAGATATGACTGCTCTGTGGCTGAAAAATGTTAGTCTATTGCATGACCTGTTGGTCCAGCACTCCTCGAAACAGGTATTTTAGATATCCGCTTATTTTCAGGTGATTAAACTGACATTTCTGTTTGTTTTAGGTTTTTATGTAAACGGTCTGCTTGTGGTTTTTGTGGATGAAATCCTCTGTGTTTGACTGATTTTAATTGCTGTCAGGGTCTGGAGTCAGATGACCTGGTTTCCATGACAACCGACCTGAAGGACCTGATCCGTTCCCTGAGTGACCTCTGTATCCAGGCCTATCAGCAGCTGCTGTCCATTACTGAGACACTGCTGCAGAAACTCATAGGTAATTCTACTGTGACGTTGTTGTGGTGGTCCCAGTGATCGTCCCTCCACTAAACTTTAGAATTTCTTTCTTTTTCTCTTCCTCAGTCCCAGCGCTTCTAGAGAGCGAGACCATTGCCGGTCTGTCCGGCTCTGCTGTGAAACAGGTTGTATCCAGGAGACGGGCAGGCTCAGACCCTCGACCGCTTGGAGCCGACGCTCCCACCATGGCGTCTGTGTTGAGGCAGCTCAGAACCCTTCACTCAGCCATGAGCCGCCAGTCCCTGCCCCACAGTCTGACAGAGCAGGCTTTTAAGCAAATGACCTACCTCATCTGTGCCTGTGCTCTCAACAACCTGCTGCTGAGGAAAGACGTGTGCTCCTGGAGTCGTGGCATGCAAATACGGTATGAAACCACTCCTTACTGTAATTAATTATGTGAACTGATGCAGGTCAGCAACATGAACTGAGGAGGTATCAATACAGGCTTATCTATGGTTAGTGAGAGGTGCAAACATTCTGCAAATGCAAAAAATGCACAGCACGTGTGTGTTATATAATATAAAAAGTATTGCAAACACAGAAATTGGAATAACACACCAACTACAAAGTAAAAAATCTTTGAAGATGCAAAAACTAAAAATATCTGGTATATGAAATATACCAGATAAATATATGGTAAAAATATCGAGAAATTAAGTGTTTAAAAAAGAAAAATATTGAGAGGAAAACTGCTTTTTTTTTCTCTCTTCCCTCCAAATGACCTGTGGTTTGGCATCCTGTTTGTTTTTGCTAAGGAACATTTGTTTTGCAGCAGGTGTTGCGTTCACAACTTTTTTTCTTTAGCATCTACCGTTCTCATTAAAGCCACTATAGTACTGATACATGTACCTGGGAATCAGTGAGATTTTGCAACTGTACCCTTTTTTAATCCCATGCAATTGTCATTTTAAAACTAAGCTTATTTACCTGAAGCAGATGAAGATGATGCTGCTGCTTCATGTTGCAGGCTGCAGATGACTAGCTGTTGAAGAATGCTAACGGTGCCAAATGTGCTGTAGCCGTGGATCTGAGGCTGTTAAAAATTGTGCACTATTTACCTTCGCAAAAAAACAAAATCTTACATTTATCTAAATGCTTGCTCAGACTTAAAGTATTCCTGCCGATGGCCTCTCAGTTCGCCTTCAATCGGCCATGTTTAAATCGGCTTTGTTTACTGTAGCAGCAGCTTCATGTCTGCTATAGAAAATCAGCCACTTTTCCATTCTCTCTCTGTCACAATGTAGGTACCAACACATGGTACAGTTTGATTTTACATAAATGGGTTTTTGGTAGTTCTGTTCTGTAGTAGTTCTGTTTGCCTGCCTCATTTTTGTCTTTGTTATACTATTTGTATTTGCTGCTCATTTATGTATTTGGAGCAGGTTCTACCCCCTGTAGTCACTTAATTTTGCACTAAACGACTACATATCTAATGGGATTTAATATGATAAACCAACACCAGGTATTAGATATCTGGCGAGGGAAACCGTACATGTTTTTCAAAAACACTTAAACAAATATGAAAAATGTGGATATGATTCAGCCCAGAGAGTAAATACTTTTTAGTATCACCAAGTCTTTAGTTTTATGTTTCTATCATCTGTACTCATATAGACATAGAACCTTGTGACCATTTTTCTAGCTCAAGCTCAGACTGGATGGATAGCATCTGTGAACATCAGTTTATAGCCACTGTAGCTCTGGCTGTATGTTTATGGATGATGTTCAGCTGGAAGGTGAATATTTGCCTCATTCTCAAATCTTTTGCATCCTGATAGATTTTGTTTTCCCTTTAAGATTAGCCTCTTTTGATCTCTTTACTCTTACCAGTTTCTCTGGCCTTACTGAGTGTCCAGCTGCCACCATGTTGCACAATGACGATGGTGTGTTGGGCCTCATGTGGACTCTTGATTCTCAGGCACATTAAATCTCAGACATAAAGTTGGATTTTTGTTCTCATCTTACCTGATTACCTCTGACAAACTGACAGGACTTGTTGCTTTTTCCAATATCAGAGTTAGATTGTATATAAAGGGACATATTTGAATGGATGTCCCCATTATTAGAAAAGCAGAAAACCAAGTTTGACTTATGTTTCTCTTAACAGTTATACACCAGTATGATAAGACACTGCAAAAACCGTCTAATAATGAGAAAAAAATATCTTAAATTAAGTGTATTTACCATTCATTTGAGTAGGTAAATAAGATAATTTACCAATGGAATGACTATTTTTAGTCTTAAAATAAGATAATTAGATAATATGCACTTGAAATAAGACAATACAATTGTGTTTTATTATTTTAAATGTAAATTGTGTTGTTCCATTGGCAAAGTCTCTCAATTACCTCCTTAACTCAAGAAAAAATGCAATTATTGCAAGAAAAAAATATTTATTTAGATTTCAATTTTTTTTGCAGTGTGCTGTGGAGATACTTTCCTTCCGCGGATAAAGAGAATGTAGTAATAAGTAAAGGGAAATACAAAATTTATAAAAGTACTGGGAAACAAAGGAGAACTAGTGTTCATTTATTTAAATTAATAAAAATATTTAGCCACTATTTCCTTCTCTTTACAATGATGCATTATTGTGCTGGTTATTCACATGAAATTTAAAACTGGGAAGAATTCTGTGATTATAGGAAACATTCAGAATGATTTAAGTTCAGTTTTCACATAGGAAATAGATTACATTTGGACTATTCTTTTGGCAGTAGGTGTGAGGTAAATGTAGCTTCCAAATTGTATTCTCCTAAAAATGTTTGTCATCTTCTCAGCTACAATGTCAGTGTTCTTGAGGAATGGCTGCGCAGCCGTAGTCTGCAGGCAGGTGGCGCTGTGGCCACACTGGAGCCTCTCATCCAGGCAGCTCAGCTGCTGCAGGTGGGGAAAAAGACTGATGCAGATGCTCAGGCTATAGTCCGGACCTGCACTGCTCTCTCCAGCACCCAGGTGGGTCTGATTCTCAGTTCTGAAAGAAATGTGAAAAAATATATTTTCTCTGTCTAAAACCTTTATTTAATTTTTCCTCATAGATTATGAAGATTCTGACCCTGTACACTCCTCACAGTGACCTTGATGAAAAAGTCTCTATAAATTTCATCCGTAGCGTCCAGGTACTGCCTACATCTCTAAGGTCTAGCATGTTGATTCATTGAAATATTTCACTTCAGGCCAGTTTTATCCATCTTTCCCACCCCTAGGAGCTCGCCAAAGGCCGTTCTGACAGTCAGCCTCCGCAGCTCCTGATGGACGTGAGAAGAGTGTTCCCTGTCACTTTTCCCTACTCACCTCCCACTGCCCTCAGTGCAGAGGAATTAGTCATCCCAGACTCCCTCAAGATCTCTTTTCTACGCAAAGCCTAAAAGTGGAGCCACATATTTGCCCTCAAAAATTAAACAAGCTTTCTGGGATTCTCTAAAATGTCCAACACACTGCTTATTATTAGTTTAAAAGGTCTCAGGTTAAAAACATTCCCGCAAAAGAAATGTGTTCAAGATTATTAATCTTTATGTTTTTTGTAGCCCAAGACGGGCACTTGTGAATAATGACAATTGAGGACCCAAAAAAGACGGATAATATGTGAAGAAAGCCTTAAGATAAATAATTTGATAATCTTTTCTCTGAGAGAAAAAGGCCTGGCATTTGAAGCTGAATTGGGTAAATATAAAAAGTTAAAAACTACAGAACCTCTGACCCCAAAAGTACCTCAATAAGTAGTTTTTCTCTTTATTCTTTACTCAGAAAGCATAAAACATGTCTGCACCTCTATTCTCCTGCTTAATATAACATTTTTTTTTTTTTTGAGGGGGGTACTCTCCAATAGACAAGGATCTAAGTCTACTTTGCTGCATTGCACATTGAGGATAAGGAGCAGTTGGAGGCATTTTTGGTCCTATTCAGTTTTTAAAACATTAGGATCTCGTCTACAAACCAGTTGTAAACTAAAACTGCTAATATCTGCTCTGGTCAGAGGAGTTGATGGACCTTTTTCCATATAAAGCAAATTATAAAATGGAAACCCGTCTTATGTTCACTTTTTAGTACATTTAAGGATCTGTGCTCTGGGCCGTTTTTTTTTTTTTTTCTTTATTCAAAGGCCCTGGAACATTGTTAGAATCCGGCAAGACCTGCCATACTGCCTTGGACGAAATGGGTAATTTACCAGGTCAAATATCCTAAACATGTAAACACAGAAATGGTTCATTAGACTCAAAGTGGAAATTTTTTATGACCAACTCTGCTCCTAGACTTAAATCCTATAGAAAAACCTGTGAGCTGAAGGAAAATAGAACATAAAACTAACAAAGAACCGATTTTCTATAACATTTCAGTATCTCTTAAGATCCTTTAAAGCGCTCTCCTATTGGCTTAAGGTCATTGCATACATTTATAGGGAAGCCAAAGTTTGTTTGTTTAAAAGTATTACAATTTTATCCTTGGATTTATTAAAATTAGAGGATGTTTTTTCTTTTTCACCAAATCTTTGGTGTAAAATTGCTAGAATAAGATGATTATCGATTAAGGCTTTCTACACATTATCTTACCAGGAGTGCCACCATATGTATCCTGGAACATCAAGCTGCATCTTTGCACACAGTGACAGGCGAGAGGGAAAGAGTCTTGTTTTACATATTTTATTGGTAGCAGAAACACAGACTGTCGTCTCAGGTGCCTCGGCCCCCAGTAATAACCACCAGAATAAAAACAAAAACAAAATTAGAAACATCTTTTGTGTAAAAAAAGTCTCATGCCAGTACTTTGTACCCACTACACATCATCAGTAATACATATTTATATATTCACAAACATTTGAAAAATAGAAAACAATATTCAAATATCAAAATATAGAAGACAACAGTTGGCGTTAAACATCAAATAATTATGCGTGCTGGCACAACACGTTTTCTTTTTTTGTTTTCTTCTTATCATGCACCGATTCTGGAAGTACACAACCGGCGCCACCTTGTGGCTCACCTGGACAGAGAGGGGATGATCATGCATGTCTGTCTGCCAGTGTGTGCGTGTGCTTTTCATTGTGCTTCATCTACTAACATCTTTAGCCTCAAACCTGGTAGCCCAGCACAAACTTAGCCTCAGAAGGAGGAAGAACTTCCTCGACTGAAGAGAATCATTGTCAACAGCAGTAAATAAAGATTTTCGTGGCATTTCCAGCTATCTGATGGTTGTCTACCTCTTATTTTGTCTTTTAAACTAGTGTGCAGAGGTTCTCGTTGAATAAAAAGACCTTGTACATGCCAGAGAGTTACACCCTTATAAATCTTTAGACATTTATAGAGCAAACGGTGTAATGTGTATTCTGCCAGAGTGAAGGTTGGAAACGTACATAATATTCATTTAGCCCCTAATCACGCCTGTAAAGCCGATGCATATGGCTTGTATTTCATCTCCATCATGTACACGGTCTTCCTATGTTTCTAATCAAAACCTGATCAGGTCAATCTGCACGAAATTCAAGTCTACAACAGAGCAGCAAACTTCACGTATTCAGACATTTTTTGTTTTGTTTTACATGGCAGCTATTTACAACAATCCGTTTCTGTTTCATATCCCAGTCTACTTTAACATAATTTCAGTCTCAACGGCTTTGATTTTTGGCCCCAGGAGAGAGAGGGAAAAAAAAAAAAGAGACAACTTCTACAACATATCGGACACTTGTGCTGCAATAATTACACTAATAATCCACCATGTAAACATAAGACTGCTTCAAAACGGACTCATCTACTTGGAGTTTAGAGATCAGATGCATAGAGTTTAATTGGTCCACTTTGTTTCATTATAGGTCCTTTTTTAATTCTTTAGGACCCATAAATACATCTACAAATGTAGTTTTAAGTCCTACAAAATCTCTATTATCAACATTACCTATAGGTTAGTACACAAACAAAACTTTTATAAATATATATGTATAATTTGTTTCAATGGTTTTGAGTTCAATGGCAATAAGTCATAAGAATAAAATCTTTAAAGGTGGACAGATGTTTAGCTGTTAAGGTATTTTTCTGTTATTCTACAGAATGAAAAACTTAACAGATCAGATGAATAATAGGTTTTTATTGGTGCAACCAAGACTGTGGGTGAGAAACGACTTTAAAAGTCTCTGTAGAGTGTGGACATTGTCCTCTTTTCAATATCATATCCAGACCAGTTCTGGTTCAGCCCTTTAGCGGAGGTATTTCTTCTCAGTCTGGATTCTAGGGTAAAGCTTTGAAAAAGTAATAAAACCCTCTGAACTTTTCCCCATGTTGTCAACTTATAACTGCAAACGTCTGTGTATTTTTTATGTAATAGACCAACAGTAAATAGTGCTTGATTGTGAAGTGGATTAAAAAAAGATACAGGATTTAAAAAATTGATTGCAAATATAAATCTGGAAACTGTGCATTTGTTTTCTCTTTACCCCGATTCTCCAAAATAAACTCAAGTGCAACCAGTTGCCCTCAGAAGTCACCTCATCAGTCGAATCCAAGCGTTTCATTTATCTCACTCTAAATCCAGCTGTTCTGTGAAAAAAAAACCCACCTAAAAAAGCTTAAATTAAATTTACCAATCATAAAACAGAATATGTATGATGCAACTGCAAACATGCTAAGATATGTTGGTCCATCTAAACCCACAGGCAACAGAAGAATATCATTAGTATGCAGAATCAAGATGCCCATGGTAGCTCTGGGGGAGCTGCACTCAACAGCTCGGAGAGAATCAATGAGTAGAAAAAGGAAGATTCTGGAAATACTGTGAGGTCCAGCTTTGGGGGCCACAGCAAATGTAGAAGAAGATGCTTTGGACATATTAGGCAAAAGGGAGAAAGCTGATCATAATTGGAAAATGGATGGAGCTAAATACAGATTAAACCTGAGAGAAAAACAGTTGCAGGTTTCAAAAGATTTAAGAAATTGTTGGAGTTCATTCCTGAGCAGGAAACTCCAAACACATATACCCCTTTTTCACTGACTTCATTTTACCCCACCGATTTAAAATGTTTCAATTACTGCTTTATCAGTGATGGTACTGACTCAGACGTGATCTTTATTCACTCTGAATGAGGTTGAGCTGGATGAATTGGCTCCTTGATGTAAAAAACAACAAAAAACTGCGGTTACAGACATAGCTGTAATTTCAGGGAAACTGGATCTACAAATTGTCGATTCAGGAGAAGAAGCTCAAATGCACAAATGCACAGCACTCTACATATTATTTTCTTTCACTTCACAAAAACAACTATTTTTGTCAGAACTCCTCTTAAACACATCAGAGTCTGCAGTTGGGATGTGACAAAATGTGAAAAAGAATATTAAATGTGTTGGATCAGTGCAGATCTATGCTAACTCAGGGGGGCAGGATGGGAGATATATCTCTCATGAGGCTACTTAGCAAAATATCTCAATGCAGGTGTTTTTATATAATAATCCCCATATTACTGGGCAGCTAGTTGCTTTTTTTCTTTAAGAAAATGAAATGGGATTTAATCCCTCCTCAGTAATGCACTGCTGATAGGCCCAGAGAAGGCTACAAGGAATGTTTGCAGTAAAACACAAAAGTTAGAAAAAACCAAAATAATATTAATAAAAAAAAAGATTTTGGCCTTAAAAATGTAAACAAACCTATAAAAAATCAACAGAACCTCCAAATATAATTAACATAGAAATGGCTTCTCTATGATTACACTGGCAGGTAACTGTCAACAACCACAAATGATGCTCACTCACTCACTCACTCACTCACTCACTCACTCACTCACTCACTCACTCACTCACTCACTCACTCACTCACTCACTCACTCACTCACTCACTCACTCACTCACAGACACACACATATTTATATACCATGTGATAAATCCCAGTGCTCAGATGTGTGCTTTCATCAGATTTCTCTCTCCATGCCGTCCTTAAACAAGACACAGACAGAGAGTCAACGGAACAGAAGGTATTCAGAGTGTCAGGCAGTGTGCTGCTTTAGGGTCCACAGACAGAAAGACAGACAAGAACAATCTTTCAATGACCACATGTCCATCAAATAACCCTGTAAGTTCATCTATTTCCTTTTTAAGTAATTTATAGATATATATATATATGTATATAAGGTTATCTAGAATTACTGAAATATAAATATAGCTCTAGATTAATTAGTAATAAAGTTGAACTATTAACGAAAAGTGCTGATTTTTCTTGTAATATCTGTAATTTTTGAGCTTGGTTCTGATGTGTTTCGAATGGACAGCTGGCCCTTTTGTGTTTGGGAAAGCTCTTGGCATATTTCAGCAGTTATCTGTTGGCACTTGCGGGTCCTTCTCTGACTGAGAACATACCAGCGAAGGGATGAGAGGGCACAAACTAAAAAAGGAAAAAGTGAGAAGGATAAAAATATTTAGAGGCTACAAGATAATTCTCAACCTGACCAAGAGAGAAGTTTGTGTTCCTCCACCGTAAATAAGGAAACTCTGCTGTTAATAAAAATTTGGGATAAACACATCAGCAACAGTAAAGACACTGGTGGACTCTGTGGTGCTTCTCTTTGCTTTGTGTCTTCTCCACTGAAATAGATGTATTTACAGTACGGAGTGTGTGTTGACTCCTGTCTTGTATGTGCTTTTACAACACTGGATTACTCGGCAGTGACTTGCAGTGTACCAGGAGAGTCCTGGGGCTCCAGACGCAGCATTTTAAACCCCAAACAGACTTGTTTAGCCACGGCCCTCCTCTGCGGAGCGCTGGTCCGACTTGAGCTTGACAAACTCCTTGGCCACATCATCGTTGTTGCGTTGGGAGAGGATGCGCAGGACAGTGAGGCCCGTCTCATCCATGTGGATGCGTTTACCCAGCGGGAGCCAGCAGGCGGCGCTGCCCTTAGAGACCATGTCCTTCAGCTGAAGGACCGACATGCCCACGGTTCGGTCCTCACGGGCGAAGCAGTAGTCTTTCACACACACCTGCAGCTCATAGCACTCCGGACCCACCTCGTTGCTCAATGTGCTGTGGAAGAGTTAGAGCTCGTTATATAACCCCCACAGATCACAAACCGCTGGTAAAACTATTGATATCTACGTACAAAGTGAAGGTTTCATTGTATTTAGGAGCCCAGCTGTTGTTCTTCGACTTGGTCGCGTACTTCCGCTTCTTGTCGCTCAGGTGGGGGCCGATGATGTAGACCTCTACAAATGGGCGGAATATTCCCTGCGTCTGCCACCTCAGGTCGTTGGCAGCCACAACTGAGGCAGAGACAGAGTGGAGATGAAGAAGAGAGAAAGTGAGGGGGAAGGTGTGGGTGACAATGAGGAAGAGGCTCATATGGGAAAAAAAAAACCCAATGTGTGACAGTGGAGTCGTGAGAAGCAGAGAATGAAAAGGAAAATCCTGCTTCTATCTGAATAAATTCTGCATCTTATTCACAGACAGAAACTTAGGGAGGATAATGCAGTTCTTTCAATATGTTTTCATGTCCATTATATTATTATTTGTCTTTAAATCTGATACACATTAATAAAAGACAGTGCTATTAGGGATGGATAAATGCAGATCTATGTGTAATTTAATATATACCTTAATCCAGCTGTTATGTAAAGAGGTTTGTTAGAGAAACATTAGACGCTTTATTTTAGTCGAGCCTTGGCTTGTAAGAGAGATTAAAATGAGCTACTGGTGAACTGAGTTCTTGTAGCTTCTTTAATGAACAGAAAGTGGGGGTGGTGGAGACTTGGAACACATTGTTCCTGAGTGCATACAAAGCTCATGTAAAATTAAGTGCGAGAAAATAGGAGACATCTGTTGTTAACAGATAAAACCATTTTTACGGCACACAGATTATTTTTATTTTCACTGATTAACACCCACAGGAAGTAAGTCCTAAAATCTAATTCTTTTCTCACGTGATTCTTATACTGAATTAATTTTAATCTGCTTTAGGAATTAAAAGACAAAATCTGAGTGAATTAAAGGGTGTAAAAACTATTACAGATCATAATAGTAAGCAGCATCATCGGAAACGATGAACAAATCAGGGAGGTCCTGGAGAAGTTAAGGGTTATAAAATTATAAAACATTAAGGTTGTCTAACATCTCAGATATTGGAAAGCTCATAGAAGCACGTTGCCTCTATCTACTTTTGATTAAGGGTTATATAACTTTGTCTTATATATTATTTTGATTAAAAAGAAATGGGTCAGTTGTTCTCATAGAGAAATATTACTCAAGAAAGCCTTTTCTATTGTTCCGTACATTAAAATATGTAACTATGTAAGATGTTTAATATTAAAATATGTACATATGTAAATATGTAAGTATGTATGATTCATGCTGATATCGTAACGGGTAAATATTGGTATTAGTCAATATTCAAAGCTGCACAATCTGTATCGTATCATAAAATGTTGTACTGGGACATTCCTATGAAACATTATCCAAAAGCCTGACCATACTGCAGATTAAAAATTAAGAAAAATGCACAATTATTCTTCATTTACTCAGATATCTCCTGGGACGAAGCCTGTGAGCAGCTTTAAAACACTGATACCAAAGGAGAGGTTTCAGCTTCCAGCAGGAAAACAATCCCACACACCCATCCACTACCGTGGACTGGTTTTAATCAAAGCATGTTGAAGTTTCTGACTGGCCTAGTCAAAGTCTAAGCCTAAATCTCACCAATAATGTGTGTTAAAAAAATAATCAGTGATGTGAAATTATCAAGAAGTGTTACATCTTTTTCTTCAAAGAACAACAGCCTGCCAGAATTTCAATTTCCTGATGTACAAAACTATAAGAAATATAACTCCAAGACTTGAAACTTTGTTTGCAACAAAAGCTGTATAGTAAGTAGCTGTATAGTAATAATGCAGTATACTGATTATTTCTTAATAGTAATCATGTGTCCTTGTCCTGCTAAATTCTGATCACATATGTCTTTGTATTGGTGGATCACATAATAATCAAAGAATAAAATCCAACAATGCAGAAAAGAAATAAGCTTCTGGAAAAATTGATTTCTATTTTGCATATGTGAACAAATTGATTGTTAAAGGAAATAATAAAAGAAAATACCTTTCACTGTGACTTTATGTTCCCCAGTGTTTGGATGAGTGAAAACCTCCACATGGATGGACACCTCACCCACAGCATCATCCACTCCGGTGCCTGACAGAAACAGCGGAGGAATAAAAAACCCATTAACAGCTTGCTCTTATCACCAACCAAACACGGACAGATGTAGATAGATGTGGTTTCATGACTAATTTCTCCACCAATTCCCTTTCAGTTTCAGTGTTCACTTCCTGTTTGGATTAACTGAGTGTGCAGCTGTTCAGAGGATCTCCATCTGAAGTTAAGTTATTTTCTCTGTGATATCTCTGTATCTAAGTAACTCTAACTGACTACTTTAAAACATAGCACCTTCTGCTGCACTTTTCTACTGAGCACTTGTCAGTTTCACACGGTTTTATTTCTGATAGCAAGAAGTAGCTAGCCTAGGCTAGCGCTAGCTTAGCATTGCTATGGCTTCTCTCTCTCCCTCCCTTGACTCTTTTCCAACTCTTCCTTCTTCCTCTCCTCTCTCCTGCTCTCTGTGTCAGATGTTCAGTTATTCCTCTGCCTCCTTTAGTGATAATGGGATGTGTAATAAGTGTAGTATTTTTGTAGCTTTGGAGGCGAGGGTGTCAGAGTTAGAATCCAGGCTTCAGGCTGTTGAAGTAGGCCCCCCACGTAGCTGTCCTCCAAAAGTGCCTGAGCAGCCAGGCGATTGGGTAACTGTACGCAGAAAGCGTAGTCGTGGATCTCTGCCCACTGGTCACCACCAACCCGTTCACGTTTCTAACCGGTTTTCCCCACTCAGTGACACACCCACTGAGAAGCCCACTCTGGTGATTGGCAGCTCCATAGTCAGAAACGTGGCATTAGAGACACCAGGGACCATAGTCAAATGTTTGCCGGGGGCCAGAACGGGCGACATCAAATCCTACCTGAAACTACTGGCTAAGGATAAGGTTAAATACAGTAAGATTGTTATTCACGCTGGTGGTAACACCCGGTTACGCCGATCGGAGGTCACTAAAATTAGTGTTGCTTCGGTGTGTAAGTTTGCCAAAAAAATGTCGGACTCCGTAATTTTCTCTGGTCCCCTCCCTGATCTGACCAGTGATGACATGTTTAGCCGCATGTCGTCATTCAACCGCTGGTTGTCTAGGTGGTGCCCTGAAAACAATGTGGGCTACATTAATAATTGGCAATCCTTTTGGGGAAAGCCTGGTCTGATTCGGAGAGACGGCATCCATCCCACTTTGGATGGTGCAGCTCTTCTTTCTAGGAATCTGGCCACATTTATTAGTCCTCCAAAACCCTGACCACCCAGGGTGCAGACCAGGAAGCAGAGTTGTAGTTTAACACACATCTCTGCAGCTTCTCTACTGTTACCCACTCTTTACTCCATCCAGACAGTGTCTTGCCCACGACCAAAATCTAATAAATTAGCAAAGATTCCCAAAGGAGTAAATCATGATAATCTAATTAAAATCAAAATAACTCAAATTGGGGAAAAAGTTAAAACAATTAAATGCGGTCTGTTTAACATAAGATCGCTTTCCTCTAAAAGTCTACTAGTTAATGACTTGATTTGTGATAATCACATTGACTTGTTTTGCCTTACAGAAACCTGGCTGCAGCAAGAGGATTATGTGAGCATAAATGAGGCAACTCCTTCAAGCTATTTAAATTTTCACATCCCCAGAAGTTCTGGGCGAGGAGGAGGAGTAGCAACAATCTTCCAGTCTGACTTACTGATTACTCCCAAAACAGTTAATACCTACAACTCTTTTGAACATTTAACCCTTAATTTCCCTGATCCAAATTTCAAGGCAAGAAAACCTCTTCTTTTTGTAACTTTGTATCGTCCACTAGGTCCTTACTCTGAATTTTTAGATGAGTTTTCAGAGTTCCTTTCTGATTTGGTATTAAATACTGACAGGGTCATCATAGTGGGAGATTTTAACATCCATGCTGACATTGAAGGCGATAGCTTAAGAGCAGCCTTTAATGCTATCTTAGACACTATTGGCTTTGTTCAAAATGTGAATAGTCCCACGCATTCTCATCTTCATACTTTGGATCTTGTGCTGACATACGGCATAGAATGTGAAGAAATAACAGTATTTCCTCACAACCCTGTCCTCTCTGACCACTTTCTAATAACCTTCAGGATTACTTTAACAGAGTTCTCCTCCCCCAAAAGAAGGTTCAATTTTAGTAGATCTTTATCAGATAGTGCAGTTATAAATTTTAAAGAATCTGCTTCACTTTCTCTCTCCTCTGTGTCACTGAGCAGTGCTGCAGAGTGCAAAAGTTTAGCTTATTCCCCTTCACAGGTTGATGATTTTGTTGATGGGGTTGCTAGTTCTCTGCGTATTGCCTTAGACAACGCAGCTCCTTTGAAAATGAAAACCGTTAAAAATAGAAAGCTTGCTCCTTGGTTTAATGCAGAGCTGCGTACTTTGAAGCAAAATGCTAGGAAACTGGAGAGAAAATATCGCTCCACAGGCCTGCGAGAGTCCTTCCTAGTCTGGAAAAATGGTTTACTGCTGTATAAGAGGACCCTTTGTAAAGCAAGAGCAGCATACTTCTCCTCATTAATAGAGGAGAATAAGAATAATCCTAGATTTCTTTTTAATACAGTTGCCAAACTCACCCAGAGCCATAGCTCTGTTGAACCGTCCATTCCACCTGCTCTTAGCAGCAATGACTTTATGGGATTCTTTATAAATAAGATTGATCTTATTAAAAATAAGATCATAAGCACTCCTCTATCCGCGATTGTACCTGAGGTAGTCATGGAATCTGAACTGGGTTTAGACTGCTTTGATCCAGTTGAACTCTCTGAATTAGCAAAATTATTGTCTTCATCTAAGCCTTCAACTTGTATGTTAGATCCAGTTCCAACCAGGTTATTTAAGGAGGTATTCCCTTTGATCTCCTCCTCCATTTTAGATGTGATTAATCTATCTCTGTTACAGGGATATGTACCTAAAGCTTTTAAGGTTGCTGTAATTAAACCTCTGCTTAAGAAACCGTCTCTTGACCCAGATGACTTGGTCAATTATAGACCTATATCCAATCTTCCTTTCTTATCCAAAATTCTTGAGAAAGTAGTTGCCAAACAAGTTTGCGATCACTTCCACCATAATGAACTTTTTGAAGAGTTTCAGTCTGGCTTTAGAGCTCATCATAGCACTGAAACAGCTCTGGTGAAAGTCACTAATGATATTCTCATGGCCTCAGATAATGGACTTGTATCTGTGCTCGTCCTGTTGGATCTTAGTGCTGCATTTGATACAGTTGACCATAATATTCTTTTAGAAAGACTTGAATATTTTGTTGGAATTAAAGGAACAGCACTAGACTGGTTTAAATCTTATCTATCTGATCGAATTCAGTTTGTTCATGTTAATGATAGATCTTCAACACGCTCAAAGGTTACCTGTGGAGTACCACAGGGATCAGTGCTAGGACCAATTCTCTTTACTTTATACATGCTCCCAATTGGTAGAATTATTAGACAGCATGGGATTAATTTCCACTGTTATGCTGATGATACCCAGCTATATCTGTCTATAAATCCAGATGAAGCTAACCCATTACATAGATTACAGGCATGTCTTGAAGACATAAAAACCTGGATGACTCTTAACTTTCTGCTTCTGAATGCAGACAAAACAGAAGTTATAGTCTTTGGACCAGAGTCTCTGAAAAAGAAACTGATTAGCCAGTCACTTCATTTGGATGGGATTAAACTGATTTCAGATAATAAAGTAAAAAATCTTGGTGTTGTTTTTGATCAGGACCTGTCATTTAGGTCCCATATCAAGGAGGTTTCTAGAATTTCCTTCTTTCATCTGAGGAACATTGCAAAAATTAGAAATATCCTGTCCAGGGGTGATGCTGAGAAACTAGTCCATGCATTTGTTACTTCAAGGCTGGACTATTGTAATTCTTTACTATCAGGAAGTCCACAAACTGTAGTTAAAAGCCTTCAGCTGATCCAAAATGCTGCAGCCAGAGTTCTAATGAAAATTAAAAAGAGAGATCATATCTCGCCTATCCTGGCTTCTCTTCATTGGCTTCCTGTTAAATCAAGAATAGAATTTAAAATCCTCCTTCTCACATATAAAGCCTTAAATGGCCAAGCTCCATCTTATATCAGAGATCTGATTGTTCCTTATGTTCCTAACAGAGCACTTCGCTCTCAATCTGCAGGTTTACTAGTGGTTCCTAGAATTTCTAAAAGTAGAATGGGAGGCAGATCTTTTAGTTATCAGGCTCCTCTCCTGTGGAACCAACTACCAGTTTTAGTCCGTGAGGCAGACACCCTGTCTACTTTTAAGGCTAGGCTTAAAACTTTCCTTTTTGATAAAGCTTATAGTTAGAGTGGCTCAGGTTATCCTGAGCTATCTCTATAGTTATGCTGCTATAGGCTTAGACTTTTGGAGGACATAGGGACCCCCATTTCATCATTCTGCTTCATTCTCTCTCTGTTCTCCTATTCTGCAGAATCTGTTAGTTCAATCTCTAACCTTCTGCTCTCTCTGCTTTTCCTCAGAGTAGCTTTGCCTCGTCTGTTCCTGTTTGGCTGTGACGTCATCCTGGAAAGAAACATCAGCTGTGCTGCTTCTATCAACACCCTTGTTTATAGATGTTGGAGATCGGCCTGTTTTCCAGTGTGGTCCTGTTTCTCTGACCGTGACTGAGTGGATGTGCTTTCTTCGTCCTCTGGCATGGGAGCTGCCTTGGAGCTCGTCTGCCTGGCTGTGTGTTTCCTGGACGGGGCCGCCTTTTACAGCTGCTTTTTGTATCTCTGCTTCTGTCTCCTTGAACCCCAGTCGGCCTCGGCAGATGGCCGCTCACACTGAGCCTGGTTCTGCTGGAGGTTTCTTCCTGTTAAAAGGGAGTTTTTCCTCTCCACTGTCGCTACAAGCATGCTTAGTGTGGGGGATTGTATTTGAGTCAATGAGTCAATGCAATCAACTGGTTTTCCTTAGATAGAAAACTTTGTATCAATTTGATCTGGTTGAACTGTAAAGTGCCTTGAGATGACATGTGTTGTGAATTTGGCGCTATATAAATAAACTGAATTGAATTGAATTCAACACACT